ACTTGCCAGAGATTTTGAATTGCATCGAAGTTCTTTGCCAAGTTTTTGTGAGTGTATTACTTGAGTGCAACTAATTCATTTTATAATAAGCTATAAATTGGGTTCAAATGGCAATTGAACTCATTCTTAATGATCAATTGAATAATTACTTAGACAATGATTTAATAGGATATATGCATACTTCTTCTTAAAAATATTTTGATAATCTTAGTATTTACTTGAAATATTAATTGTAGTCCTTTCACCATTAAAAATAGATACAACATATATAATAAATAGTGATTTTTTTTGTAGCATTCATTAAAGTTTTTGTAGCATTCAATAAGATTTGGTTGTTTTATATAAATAAATTTTTATCAAATGAACAAAATCTTTGATTTAACTACAAGAAAAATCAAGGTTATAAGAAATCTATGTTATTTAAAGGTTATATGTCTTTAGCTACAATAATTTTAAAATAATTAGATTAAAAAAAGATCTAATTACATTAAATATTACTAAATTATTATAACCATTAGTTGCTACATCTAAAAGAACCATTTCATGAGTGACATTTCTAAAAGACAATAAATGACCATCTATTATTTTTACATACATAGGTTTGATTTTCTTAAGTAAGAATATTTCTTGTTTTTTAACAAAGTCTTTGTCTATAAAATAAGTTGAGACTCTTGAATCTAATAAAATAAAGACTTTGTTATTTTTTGGTCCTAAATAAATTTCTATTATAAAATAATAGAAGGGATCTAAGGAGAAAATAAGACCTTTACTAGATATTATACAAGATTTAAGCCGCATGGTTCTTATTATAGCTAAAAAAATTTGTTTTCTAAGACATTATCTTTCTTAGCAACCATGCTCTTTATTTTGTAATTATTTTGTTTCTTTGGATAATTTTGAGTAATATATTTAGGTTCTCTACAATATAAGCATAAACCTTCTTGACAACATAAAGTCATTTCTTGCTTAATAAGAAATTTGAAAAACACTCTGTTAATTTTTATAGGTTTGAATCTTAATGAATAAGCTTTGGGAACTTAGAAACTATTGCCATGATTTGACTTGTACCTCTTCAATCAAATATTTATTCTTTGCATCTTTCAAAAAATTGATTGTTGCATGTAATGGCTAGAGAAATAAATTAGTTTAATGAATTTATTCTTAGTATTATCAACAATAAATCTTTGATATTATCTTTCAATCCATATCAAAACTAATTTATAAGGATTGTATCATTTTAATCTATATTGAAAGCAAGGTTTTAGAATTCAATAACATATATGTTGGTTGAATATGATTTTTATTATAAAGATACAAGTTTGGTCTTTGCTACCTTTTTTAATTACTTTTTTCAAAGTAGCCATAAACACTTTTAAAAACGAATTTAGATTATAGAAAAGAAGTAAATCTTTTTCCATCAAAGGTGCAAACTAAAAAAGAACACTCTTAGAAAGAAGTGCACTTATAAATCAAATTTGAATAAATCTATCAAGGTATTGAGAAGGATGCAACCTTAAATAGAACTTCACTTGTTTTAGAAATCCTTAAAACTTTGATTTTGTTCCATCAAACTTCTTTGGCATACTTATCCTTGCCTCCAACATACTCATGGTAGCAAGACTCTTTGGATTTAATTGTGAATTTGATCTACTTATTTCTTTCAATTCTACATCTTTTTGGCATAGAGTTTAATTTCATTGTTGACCTCTTCCATAGATGTTGGAATACTACCTATATAATTGACATTAAAGATACATGAGATTTTTACCTTAAAAGCGTTGATAAGCTTGTGAAGATCTACAATAGTTGCAAATCTAATCTCACTTCTACCAAGAGTAGCATCTATAATTTTTTCTTTTATAGATAATTCAAATAAATTTATAAGTCAAATTAAAAGAGGATAATCTGCAATCTCTGATATCAAATAAAAGTTTTCACAAAGAAGGATAGTCGACTTTCTTTAAAGAGAACAATTAGTGTTAGAAAACTAAAATATTAGTTGAAAGTGGGTAGTCCACAACCTTCAAAAATACAATAATAGAAGTGAGATAATCCACTCACTTTTAAACCAAGACAAGAACAATATATTAGCATTCTTATCAAACTATCAAGGACATAAATCTTAAAGAATCAAAAGATCAATACATTCTTATGTCACTCAAAAAAGACTAAATAATCACTCAAAGATGGTATAATATTAAATTAGAATAGCTATTACTAAAAAAAGAAGATTAGAGAGTCTTGAAATAAGACTAATGACTAAAAAGGCATTGACCAAGCTAAAGAATGCTTCACTCTTACCCTTATATATACTATCTAATTAACTAAAAACTATATGGCGACATTTTATAGGACCTTTGACACATGTTCAACTTTAGAAGATGGATTTCATATATATCTGCCACATATTTAGCTTATTTTAAAGCTATTAATACATGAAATATGTAACTGACTTATTGGTCAAGTTTTTAATCTATCAATCAATTATAAACATATATAAAATCAAATATGTATCTAAGAAGCTTCTAAGAAGCTATGCTGTTAAATAACATCAAATTTATATATATTTATCTTCTATCTAAAATTTTTTATCTAGATAAATATGTATATCTATGACATTAGTTGATAGATCTTTTTGGATGTCCACAGATATGTTGCATTAACAGATTCTATAATGCTAATGTTTTTGATGCTATCTCCAATAGTTGATTGTGCACTTATTCTTGTTGATAGAGTGCTAAGATTTAATAGGTGTCTCTAATCTTGCCATATATAGATCCAAGTCTATTCATATTTTGCAATGCTCTTGTATTGCTTGAAATACCTCAATTTGCTAATCTAGCTTCCAATCTAAGTAATTGTATATAGAAAAGGTGCCAAAGAAGATAGAAATTATACACAAATAAGGAGATATTTGCTTCAAATTTTATCTATATTTGGTAGCAACAAAATAAGTCCATTGTAGTTATAAAAGCATGAGAGCAATCATTGAGGTCCTCTTTTTTTAGCATATTTAACATGTTTTGTGACTAAATTCAATGCATAGAATGAAATCTCTTTAACAACATCCTTGTATAGATTGTGATCATATTAGTAATTAATACAAATCCATTCTATACTTATTTATGTTTTAATTCCCTTGATATAATTCTCAAAGTCTTAGAAAAGTCGAATTTGAATATCTTTGAGGTCTTTGAAAAAGACTTATAAGTAACTTTTGATAATAGAATGCATATCGTTTGTCCAAGAGTTGTTGACATTTCCAAAATGCATTGCATGATTTGTCTAGGCCGCTATAAAGCATTCTTTGTGTGCAATCCAAGTTGTTTGAAGATACTAAAGTGCAACTAAGACGCTCATATATATTTGGCAAAGCATATTAAATTAAGTAATATAGATATCAATCATTGGCAACTAAATAATGTCCATTCATGATTATTGAAAGGATTTCTAATCTTTGTCTATGCCAAAATATTTTTTATAATTTATAAGAATATTCTTTTGAATATACCAAATATAAAGAAGGAATGAAGCAGTCAAAAAGATAGTTGATAGCATATTCATAAAAGTCAGCTTGTACTCAGTTGTTATAGTTATTGGCTTGATGTCTTCATAAAGATTGGCAAGTTATTGAAGTATCCATTGGTAGTAGATTTTGCTTTCTTCTCTTATAAAGGTAATCCCAACAATGAAAGATGTGTTTAAATGTGTCATGTCAATGACATAGAACATTAGCATATAGAATCAATTGGTTTTGTAGATGTAATCCATGACTAGGATATAAAAACACTTACATGTAAGCTTCACACAAGCAAGATGTGCAAAAAATAGGTATGCAACTTGATTAGTATTGTTTACATTGTAGTCAAAGAAAAAATTCTCTTCTCAAAGTTGATCCATAAGAATAAAGATAGGTGGGCAACTACCAAATTTAACTTTTTAAATGCATACTTTGTCATTATGGTCTTTACTATTGCCTATGTGCTTGGATTGCTTTACCTTAGAATGAGCAAAATGTCTTCACAGCAATGTGAGCAACAACAATTTGTTGCATTGCTTTATACTAATGATGCTCAAGACAGCATATACTAGAATATCTAGCAATGTTCCTAGAAAGCTCATAGTTATGCTCATTTTAGTAATCGTAATGTGCTAGAACTTATCCAACTAACATAAGTATCTATTGAGTTGAAATAGGCAACTAGTTTTCAATATAGATCTTTTACAAATTTATTTTGCATCTATTAGGCTCTTTGATGGATTATATTTGCTTCCATAGTCACATTTCAATACAATCTTCTTTTGAAGAAGAATAAAACATAATTTTGTAAGAGCAAATGCCTTTTCAAAGAGCAACATCTCTTTTTATGAGTTGTAAGAAGTTTTGGATGGAGGTAGCATTTTTGTATAAAATGAAATAGATTTTAGGATGTTAAAAAGTATATTTAGCATTGCGGATAATTTAGGAGTAGTCCAAAAGTAAAGTAGAGAGTGGAAATAGCAATTTGAAAAGTATATTTAGTATTTTCTGAAAAATATTGTACTTACAATTTAAATTTGAATTAAATTATGTATTATAATATTAGGTATATAATTATTTTATATGCAATTAAATAAAGATATTATATTATTGTCTTTATTGGAACCAATGGTTAGAACAACTTTCATTTTTATATTTTTGCTAACTATATAAATATATTCTATCCATACATTTTTTTAGATTATTTATGTTCCATTTTATTCTATACTTATTATAATACGTAATATTGATTTATTAAAAGTTGCATATATATATATATATATATATGCAATTCGATTCTAGGATGTAAAACAAAAAAGAAGATTTATTTATTTTCAAATAAATCATCAAACAAGCTTCATAATCAATGTGATTGTTTGTGAAAAGACAGTTTAAAGCACTACATTGGTGTTGAGATAATATTAGAAATTTAGTTTAAAGATCTTCAAATTTTGTTATCAATCCAATGCATGAGCTTCTGTGTCAGTCAATTGTGCATGTTTACTTTTTAGAACTTTAAAGCACATTACATCACCATCCTCAACCACCCAATTAATAAACACATTCCTACCAACCTGCCTACCATCCTGTAATGCATTCCTGCTCAAAACAAGCAGTTTAACTACAAACATCCTTCTGTACTAAATACTAGATCAAAATAGTCCAAAATCCTAGAAGAGTGCACGTCAATATGCTTCATTATGGTCAATTGAGTCCTTTGTGACTTACATAACACAATCCCATGGAATTCTCTTCGTCTTTGTTATCTCTGCAATCAGGACAGGAATGTTAGGTAACTGTGAGCTTTGTTAGTCAAGTAAATCCCAAACATGACTCCTGCATAGAATGAAAACAATTGTTTATTTACAGTCTCCAACCCGTGGGAATAAATAAAACTGTACATCAGCACACAAGATCTAATCTGCAGTTTGGATGAGAGTATTAATGTGAGGTTTAAATAGAACCTAGCAAGGTCATTGTCGAGTTCCTAGGCTGAAGATCAGCAGTAACTCCCAATGTGTAAGCTACTGATTGTGCCACATGTACATCTGCTATTATCCAATGTGCGTCTGGCAGAGAAACTTCTACAGGAGTCTTGATTTATGGAACCATACTTTGCATGGTCTGACCAACATCTCTTCAATTAGAAGAATATTATCACAATCGATGTTTATGTACGGTATTCAAATCTGTTGGATGGGTTCACTAAAAAAACATTGAAGTGAATGAGAAAATAGCAGGATATTCAGTGTTTTCCATAGAAAGCAGATCCTTCAGAAAACCAAGCTGATGGAACAGAATAAACCACTTCCTTGCCTATTTCCAAAGATTGACGCCCAGGAAAAGTCGTAGGTGAATATCACCTTGTAAACTGGATAAACGAGAATCAAACTTGTCGTCACTCGTCGGATATTTGATGCTGATGCGGGATTAGCATGCCATAGGTGACAAATCCGCATGAAAGAGAGCACCAATCAGCTGCTGTGAGGCTTCTCGGAATCATGCAACTGTGACCTGTTCAGAATTGTTGGCACAACGGCAACAAGGCCAATACAAAAAAAAGCAGCTACAGTCTTAAAGTCGTAGAGCTCGCGGAAGCTGCTGAGCGTGTTCAGGGCAACGCCAGCCTGATACGTCCAAAACAAGTTAAAAGATATCAAAATGAATGCAGAGTAATTGTGTTACCGAGCATAGAGCAAGCTCGAAACTTCTTATCTTACCACATCTATATTCAGCACTACCACATTGAAATTAAGTAAAAAGTTACAGTTGGCATATTGTCACCATGAGCTGCACAAGAACTTGAAACAATTCTGTAGAAGCACTGTAGACACCCCAACTACTAACCACAAAGTATGTAGCCACGATTGTTAGGTGTAGAATCTGAGAGCTGGAGACCTCTATGATTGTTTGCAACACACTCGGAGAGATGAAAGAGCAAAAAGTAACACAAAGTATGAATTAATTGAAGACCAAAATTAAAAATGACCAAGAAGATTACGCAGTTCACAAGTAGTTCACACTAATAATAACGTGAATAAAACACGACTATAGAAATGAGTCGAAATATCTCACCCGAACAGTCACAAACGTGGCAGGCACCAAACCAACCACTGTAGCCCCAATAAAAATAGGGTAGGGAATATTAACAATTGGAGAACAAACATTGATAAAAGTATTCGGTAACGTTGGCGTGACTCTCAGAAAGAGCATGTAGTTGAATAGGTAATCTTTTCTTTTGGCAACCTGCACAAATACAATTCTGTTAACTACAAATTCATGGGACGACTGACAGTATAGATTCTCTGGACGTAATTCAAAGCGCTATAAACGTGAATGCCAGAAAACCATTAGCATGTGAAAATTTAGAAGCAGAGACATACAAAATGCTAGTGTCTACTGCACAGGGGTAGATAGCTGTATGTGATTGGAGATTAAAATAATTGTGAATGATTGAAATGAAATTTCAAAACTAATTAAAGTGACCTTACAATCCTCTGAGCAATGGCATGTACCAGTCAGCACCCATCACCTCTTCAACCAATCAACACGAGCCCAGAAGTGGTGCTTGCATGCAGTCGACACCGAATTGAGTTAGAGACGCCAAGACTAACCTCTCGGGTGAAATAGTGAAGTTTGTCACCCCACAACCACATTGCAAGGGGGCGACCAATAAGCTTGGACAAAAGATAGCAACAAGAAGCTCCAGCTGAAGCTGTGAAAACCACAAGCGCCATGCCCTGGGCCACACCAAACAAAGAGCCCGCCAGGAGAGACATTACGATTGTTCCGGGTATCATAAAAGTCTGCATAAATATGTAAATTGTGCAGTATCCCAACAGTACCTGCAGCTTATAGTCATCTGTATATTTTGATACATAATCTCTGCGGAGTCAAGATATTAAAGTAGATCAATTCATTAAATTGTATCTTCATTTAAAGAAACAGTGTGAACCTTAAAGAACAATTAGTTTCGAGTGAGATAAACCAGAATAACAATTAAAGATGTGCTTTCTAAAGTTTAGGTTCCTACAATTAAGATAATACATGACCATGAAAACAATGGCATCAGCACTAATACAGGTCAACTACATGAATTTGCAAAAATTATTACAGTCGACTTACGTCAAAATACGCAATTCTGACACTGTGCGAGGAAGCTTGAGAAGATTATGATCGATTCTGGGCATGCTTAAATATATGCCCAATAACGCAATTGCGAACGTCCCAAAGATGCAGAGCGCAACAATCGTTTCAAACATAGTCAAAGGCAACTCGGACATCCGCATTGAAACCTTGCCTCCTCTTCCTTGATTGGGGGGAATCTGCTGAATCCCAGTAGAACTGGAATTCATCACATCTTCGGTGGACTTAGCAGCCTCCTCCATGATGGTAAGTGAGACGATAGGAAAGGGATTAGTAGCCCCTGGCTCCGTACGGTTGCAATGTCCAGGAGGATCAGAAAATCGTCAGCATAACTCGCTAGTATTCACGTAATCAATGAAAGAGATGTACAAAATGCGAGCCAAGAGCCTACAGTTTGCGCACTAAGAGTACTGGAATAAATAACGATGTAAAAGAGTAAAATTCAGAGAATGTGTAAACTCCATGAGCTCAAAAGGCGGGGAGCTTGCAGCTTGTGTCTCTTCAAGCATGCACGTGTTCCTCGTCTTAAGATACATCTCAAGGGTGATGCAGAAAGACACTTCCAAAGTTAAGTTAAGTTTGGACTGAGAAGTTGGTGAAAGTGATGTAATGTACAAAGAGGCAAACAGATAAGCTATACACTACACTATGCAGGAAGTGACAAAGTGAGAATACCAGAGCTAAAACAATTCCAAAACACAAAACACAAAATATTGAAACCAAATTACAGTCGGTCGTACAGAAAGAATCAAATAATTGACAGAGAAAGAGATGCTGCTGAGAAAAGAGAAGCTGCAGAGACTGACAAGGAGATGATGTAGAATCACAGCACTACAGCAAGGGATCCAACGAGAAGGGAAAAAATCAAGAGAGAAGCGTCGACAGCATGGGCTACAGCTCAAGGATGCACTCTTTTAAACTCTTTCCGCTAAGAAAAACTCAAACTAAACCATTTAAATCTCCTTTCTCCGATTAATCAATCCTCCTGTCTCCTCTCCCCTCTCGTGTCCACCCTAGCAATCCATTAAACTTGAACCACCACTTCCACTCGAGAACATACCGCACCAACCCAGAACACTCACAATCGAAACACACCCTGCACCAACCGGCAATAACCTCCGCCCCGCTCTCCCAACTTGACCTCAATGCGGCAGCATCCGAAGGCGTAGATTCGTATTCTCACCGCCAACTCTGTCCACGCGAGGAGGGCTTCACAACAAGACTCAAAACAAAAACTATGAATCAAATAACGTGCCGAGTGGAGGGAAAAGTGCCCGCACTACTGTTAGCGTGTTACCACAGGAGACTACGCTCAGCGTCTCGCTTCCAAAACGCCAAAAACTGCCACGCATGTATGTATGTATGTATGTATATAAAATACACAATACTAATTTGTGTCTGTATTGTAGTGTACTCCGTCGCACCTCTGCCTCGCACCTCTGGACAAATAACCCTCTCTGAAATCAGGCTGCAGTGTTCCAAAAATGAAAGGCTCCAGAGACTATCTTGCGGAAATACCCGCTACGTGCTCCAACTATGAGGTAACCCTCCATTACAGACACGGTCACGAAATTCTTGTCTTATGATCTTCAACCCAGTCCTGAGGAGATGCGGCGAATCAATAGGGTATAAACCCTCGGAATTTAAACACGGCAAGTCACTCTGTTCATATTATCCCAGCACATTCGAGGAAATATGCTGCAGTATCTACTGCTGGCGCTGCCGCGAATGCGAAACTCATTCACGCGTTATTCTTTCATACGCGTCCAAGTAAAGCAGAACGCTGCAGTAAACTATATTGTAATTTAAGCGTGTAATACACTGTTTTCATCGTGAGGTTATGTAAAGTGTAGCGCAAAAAGTTTCTACATCTGCACCTCGCGCTCGTTTCACAAGTGCGTAGCGGGATAAGAACCTAAGGAACAAGTCAAGGGAGAAAAACTACAACAACAACATAATACATAAATGAACGGGCGTGGAAATTCTGCAAAGGCGGATGTTCCTGTCTTGATACGCTTCAGAGGAACGGAATCCTCAGGCAGAAGACAAATCATTCCTCGACATCATACAATCACAAAAAACGGAAGCCGCCGTTTGTACACTTACATCATTAAGGACGTCATGCGCACATTCGACTGAATCAAGACAGCAGGATCTTAGCTTCACGACAGGACTGCTGACCTCTTGCGGATGAGTAAAACCGTAGCCCTTCCGTTGTCCATATCCAACAAATCTAGAGCAATAAAAACAAAAACAAAATAAAATAAAAAGGAAAAGAGAAACGAATTCCAACGGCGATGATGGTAATCACGAAATCGGACTTGAGACCATCGAAATCCGGCACTTGCTTTCTGTCTATGAACTCCGCGTGCGTCAAACCTGAGCACGACCACTGCACGTAAGACATTCCACGCGATGCGCGAAGATTTCTACGTGCTGGAAGCGTTCCATGAGTGTCGCATCGCAGCACAGAAGTCCAAGGACACCACAAGTGTGAGATATATTCGCTTCTTACAAGCCCTACTTAGGATTCGTAGAACCATATGTGAAATCTGTTGATTACTGTCTCTATAAAGACATCTAAAACGTGTTAGATTCACTCGTTAATGTGCGTATTATGACGTCGAAGCATGGGAAGAACACGTTTAGCATCTAGTCCAACATCATAACTTCATAGCTGATCCATGTCCAGAATGGTTTTCGTTTGTGCTATGTGAAACAAAAACCATTATCCAACAAGAGATTTTTATGTAAATACTGTGCCATTGTCGTTCTATATTCATACCAAGAAGATCTATTTGTTTGTTTATTTTCTGCTGGTACTGTTTAAACTTTTCGAAAATGTAAATGGGTTTTTCGGAGTTAGCTAATCAAAATTGTGATTGGTAATTTCGGAACTGAAAACAAATATTTTTTGCACAAAAACACTCATAAAAATATCATTATTTTGATTGAAGAAATCAAGGTCACATGCATTTTAAATGTTCTTATTCAAGTTGGAATTCTAACACTTTTTTGGATAAATTTAGATAATTAGTATAGCTAACCTTGGATATTATTAAAAAACACCAAAATAATTTAGAACTTTTACTTTTTATTGTTTCAATTATGTGGATTTTGGAAAATGTGGTTCTTTGTTGATTACTTGGTTTTTTTATACAGATGTTTACATTCATTACCAAGCAACATAGCCAGTTTTTTTTGATAATTGGAATATTGACATTGTTTATTTTAAATCATCAAAAAAATTTAATAGACACAATTTTATACTATCACTAATTTTTATTCAATAAGTATATGATATTTTTGTGTGAAACATAACCAACAGCAATAATTCTATTTGTTTATCTTCATGATGGTTTATATTACAATAAGAATATTTTTACAATTTTTACAATTTTTACAAGAATATTACAATAAGAATATTTTTATAAATGAACATGACATTCTCTTTTGCAAGTCTTCATTTACTTTGAAGATAAAAGATTGTTCTTTGAACCTCAAAGATAAAAGATTGTTCTCTGAACCTCAAAGAACAATCTTTTAAACTGAGGAAATTTACTTGGTGGAACCATCTGGACTGCTTGAAGATGAGGATTGACTCCTAGAACCTTCAAGTTTTGCGAGCATACTAATTCGGTTTAGGTTTTGCAATTCGGGGGACATGGTGCGCTGTCTCGATTGGTTAGTGTTTTGCGCTGTTTGAGATAACGTATTCAAAACCCAAGTAGAGCGTTGTGTGAATTTTACTCTACTGCCCATCGGATAACACTAAGACTCGATACGATAAGATGAATATGAGAATTTCGCCAAATGAATTGTTTATTTGCAGGACGGTACGGTCGGCATGGTCGGTTTGGTCGGCTCTGAGGTTTGTTCTGCAGGATAACCATTAGAAACAATATGACTCGATCAATTGTTGCTACGTATTTAGCGCAACTGAGACAAATCAGACTTTAGATATCTGTTTTGCCCCTGTTTGCGTCCGTAGCGTAAGAACTCGTAACCACGACAAAATTGAGCGAGTTAACTTAACCTCAGCAAGTGGAATTCGCAAATTGTAGGAACCGAGAAGGTTGTGCTGATGCAACCGAACGCAAGCTGTAGGGCGTCTCACAATGCTGCAGGCAAGTGAACACGCGAGGAAGGCCTCATGTAAATCAACCAGGGATTACCAGATGTGGAAGGCTCTCTTTCCCAAAGGCTTGTGCGAAATCGAGGAGATTGAGAAAGAGGAGGTTTCCACTAAATTGATGCAATCGCTGGAGCGGTTCATGCGAGAGTATCCAGCAATTTGGAGTGAATCATCCATGCAGCATCTCCTTGTGGTAACATTCTATTCTCTTGTATGCTTCTGAGCTTGGGTAGCTTTGAATTCTCACCATAGCATTGCGAGTTTAACTCGTTGTTGCACAATCAGTTAGCCTTCAGACGAATTTCCTTACAACTGGTATTTAAACGTGAGTTCAGGAAATCGCTGATACCCAATATGCTAGTTCATCAAACAGTGTAGCTGAAGAGCGCTTGCATACAATCATCATGCACATCTTGGTACCCATGGCAAAGATTATGGAGGCTGAGCAAGGACATATGAAGGCCGAGAGACAAAAAATTCACGAGGCAACACTTTCTTTGCAGAGAGTGCAAGACGAGTGCAATAATGCTCTTCTCGCCCTGACGCAAGAGCATGACAGATCAGCAAGGTATTTTAATCCCATATTATCAGTGCTTCTATAATTTTTCCGTTCCATAAAGGCTTTCTTTAAGACTCGTATTATCAGTCTACTTTGTTTTCTGAGACTTCATAACAGTCAAGTTGTTGGTTGTGTAAAGAATACCACAATGAACCTTGCATACTGGAGCTTTTTAGGGTTTGATTGGATTGTAAAGAGTAACCCATGCTGCATATTTTTTTACAACCCCCTCCCCCTCTTTCCCTTTTTTTCCCGCCGAAAGCGAAGTGAGACTCTTCGTATGTGTGATTCGTTAATCTAATTCTAGGGATCTGGAAGAACTTGGAAATGCCCTTCAAGAGAACAGAATTGCAGCGGAGCAGGCTGGGAGGAGGCTGACTGAGAAGGAGAAACAAATCCATGGCATGTTGCAAAAGCAGAGAGACACGCTAGTTCGGCTTGTGTGTGGAGGACCCAGAAGATTCCTCCATTGGGCGCGAGAGGAGATTCAATTCCATGGCATGGTCGAGCTTGAGAAAGACCTTGAGCAAGTGTGGTACTCCATTTCGAGAGCCCTATATCACGAGGAGAATACAACCCCCAACGCTCCAGAATGTTCAAGCTGCACTTCTTACGAGCAAGGAAAGGACGAAGCGGCTCAGACCAATCGAGCCGTCTTTAAAAATGGTGAGAAATCGTCAACGCTGCCAATGTCGATGACTGATTTGGCGGTGAATTTGCTTAGTCTGGTGGTCTCCGAAATATGGCAGCAGACGCTAGAGAGTTACGAAAGGGTGAAGAGTCCCTTTTCCCTGCCGTGTGCCATTATCGGCTTCTGGTTTGGCATCGCAGCCCGCATGACATACCTGGCCTTGGTGACGTTATGTCCGCAAGTGGTGTTCAGAGGACCATACCCGGAATGGCCACTTCAGTGACAACTTGATTGACTAGCCTCCAATGATTGCAATGATCGAGATTTCAAAGGGCTGCACTCACCCGATCTTCACAGCCAAGGTTTGTGGGAAAGGCAAGCTGTTATCATCAACAATTTTGTTTTCAAGTGGTACGCATTTAGAAAAGTAATCCCTAATTGCAGAATTCAAGGAATTTATTTTCGCTTCACCAAGACGAATGTCCTTGTGGCGTAACTTGTGAGAAGAAGCAGATGTCGTTGTATGAGAATATTGAGGCATCATGATTGTGAATACTCCAAGCATGTAGTGTAGTAGTACAGGTAATGGGCGAGTGTTGAAGCGTTTGAGAGGTTGTAAGACCTTGTATATTTGGGTGTAGGTTTTTGTCATATAAATAGGTAATTTATGAACAGGTATATAGACTCATTGCATTCCAGCTGTGTATGTTGTGTGTGTGGTTGCTGCTTTTGAATGATTTAAGTTATGTTACTGGATGATGGCAGGCCGTCTTGCACAAGATTCATTTCTTGATGGTGGACCAGTTCAAACTCTTTTTAACATTCCAGACGATGTGTTCACTGAGATTCTGTCTTCAGAAATAGAAAAAAACCATTATAAAAGAACAGTCCTACCAAGCACAGGACTTGACTCACAAAGTGCCATCCTTTTGATGTGTCCACAATAAATGTATCAAGCTTTAATAGTAGGCTGTTGCTTGACAAGGGTCTTCAAGCAACGAACGAAACCAACGAAGAATACGTAGACCTGGAGTACCTGAAGAATGTGAAATGTCGCAAACCAACGAACAATACGTAGACCTGGAATTTCTAAAAAAACACAGCGAAGTGATTACAGAACACCTAGTTAAAAGCAGAACTGCACCGCAATCATCCAATACCATATCTCAATAAACTAAGCATGCATAGGATAATTTCATGAATGACCAAGAGAAAACAAGTGAGTTGGCAAAATTTTCCAACTTCAGCTTCTTCTACCTTCCAGCCTCATGCACATTACCACAAGTGAAGAGAAACGTATACGGGTGCTCCACGAAATGCACACACTGCTTCCGTATTACTACTCATACATCCAGTGTTAAAAAGGAAAAGAAAGAGCACACTGTCAATGGCGACCAGCTGAATTCTGGGCTACGCCTCCAAAACTCATACCTGTGGTTGATTCAGATAAGTGTAATGAACGAAGCCTCAATCAATCCGCTCACAAAAACGGAGGGAAGATCACATATCTCCGAGGGTACTTCCTCCGCCCGTCTTGTCCATCAAAGGTCTGCAGAAAGCATATTCCGAAGTGCTGTAAGCAACTGGAGCATCAGACGCACTAACAAACATTAATGAAGCTGCAGTTAGCATTGAAACCCTAAAACATAGTCAGGAATAACAATGGAGAAGGAGCCACGCATTCATTGCATCACATCCAGAACATATAATGGTTAACTAATTGTGATAAAAGCTCACCCTTTTCAGGCGTTTGTGCTTTTGAATAGCCCATACAGTCATAATGTACCCTGCTGCTGCCAGGAAGAGGTACCCAGCCCCAGTCTGGGTGGCAATGTTAAATCCGATCCACTGCCAAATCTCAGTAGTATAATTTGCACAAGTGACGTAGTTGAACAGAAACCCGGTAGGAATCTGGTAACCCCCCTTTCCATCCAGAGATCTCAAGTTCTTCAAGATGATGTGACAGTAAAAGTTCGAGATCTGGCTCACAACAGAAATCGCAAATCCCACGTACATTTGCGTCTCACTCACTGGAGTGTACAGAGGGTGATTCACAAAGTAGGCAATGTAGGTCCCAAACAGCCAGTAGCGTGGCTGAAGCGGTGGATGCAGAAGGTTTCAAATTCTCGTTTGGCATAGTGGAAGCACCATGCATACAGGGCGAATGTCTGCACCGGATGAATGCTATTGCGTAGTGGGAGACCAAAGTAGCTGTAAACTTGGGGGAAGAAATAGAGGACGGGGTAGATAAGCAGAGGGCCAAGGTACTCGAAGAAAAAGAGTGTGCTGTAGGACACTTGGGGACCTAAGTCTTTGAACACCACCTGGGGGGAATCAGAAGCGAGCTGATCCCGCAGCTTCTTGGCTTCGTCTACTGGAGTGGGGCGGCTCTGTCCAGGTGGGAGAGGCAGAGTGATTCGTTGCCTCTCGGGGTAATATTTACGATCTGCATCGCACCAAAAATCACATTACCTCAGAATTGAAACTAAAATTTCAACACGGACGATAAAGCAAACGAGGGACCAAGAACATGAATGGGAAACTTCTGTGAATTGAGAGTGTATGCGTACTTCGACTATGGATGGCCTTCTTCAAGTCCTCGAGTGTTGCCTACATTTCAATCAAGTCAAAGGGGTAATTCGCGAGAGGATTCATCTACACGCTCCTCGTCCTTTCCAATAGGATGCATGCGTGAGAACGCAACATATTCAGCAACTAGTCCAACCATACAGGCCGTAAAACGTCGAGACATGGCACGGATATCAAAAACTACTCTGACATCGGATAAAGCAACGACTTGCTCCACAATAACCAGATATCCACACATCCGAGGAACGCTATATACACACCGCCACCGCATTGCTACAAGCATGAAGCAGACTTACAAAAAACCCTTCCATGTATACCCATCTTCAAGATTGCAGACACCTAAGGACAGTAACCTAAACACATGGGCCCAGATCATTGAATTTTAATCAGTCGTCCCAAAAACATCCTCAAACCATTAGAAAAAAAAATCTATTCGAGATAGACGACTCTGCACACAGAGAGAGCTAATCTCAGCCACACTCGACGTTTACAGAACAGGATGAGCAGGCTAGAATTCAAAACGCTCTTGCTACCGAGCAATATCCAAAAGAAAACACGCAAACAACACTCGCAGTGTTCTGACCTCCGCGTCGACTTCCACACCTCCCTCAATGATCTGCTTCCCATTGCGACCCACCACCTGAACCAGAATGCGATTCTCCAGCCCCATCTTTCCCGGCTCGTCCCAACTCCGAAAAACTGCCGAGTTCAGGACCCACAACCCTTAATGAACTGAAATGAACCTCACGCGCGCGCTCTGGTCCTCTCAGCACAATCTCCCAGCACACATTGGTCCCCGCTCACTCTCCCTCCGACGAAATTGCAGCTGCGAGATGTGCGCCACAAAAAACAACGAACTCACTCTCACACACATACACACCGACACGCCCACTGGACTTTATAGCCTCAGACGTGCGGCTGCGTCTGAATCCGGCGTCAGGCACGCCTAAATGGTTCCGGCGCTTTTACGCAGGGGGGGGTTACGTCGCCTTCAAATGTCCACTTTATCGCTTTCACACTGGATGTCCCGTTCACACCTGCACAAAGGGAGTGAATTTGTTTAACAACTTTTACTTTCTCCACTTCCTAAGCCCGAGTTTTGCAATCTTATTAACTTCGTCATCTCCATGTGGGTTTACTAAGGAAAAGGTTGGCGTCAAGTTCTTCTTTTAAAAAAATTATCATTAAAAAATTATTTGTAATTTATATTTGATTCATTACTCTTTCTATTGATATAAAATTAAGTGTCGGCTACAATGGGAGTAAATAATAACAATAATGATAATTGGGAGAGAAGAGAAATGCATTGGAGTGAGATTTATTTTTGTTGAAGATCAACAAGATCTTGTATAGTTGCCACCTTATAGAGGTAAACCATAATAAGTTGCTAATAGTCAAAAGAGAAAAAAGATTAAAAGATACTACTATGGTGGCGGCTAAGTTAAGAGTACTCTAGGGTTTAGTTGAATGAAAGAAAGAAGGATGAAAATTTTTATATTCATCTACAGCAATGTAAAGTCTAGCTATAAATAAAGAATGTTAGAAGTCAGAGTTATCTTACTCCACACTTCATTTTATGTGCAATCTTGCTGATGCTAAATGTTGTGGCTTCTTACTTCTCTTTCTTCAATAGGTTATGGGCCTACTCACATTCCTTTGTAAGTTTTTTTGAAGTTTTATGAAGATTTTGTTGTTATGTGGAGTAAATCATATTGTTGTTGCTGATCTTAGGATTCTGATATTCCTAATTTTTAGATTTAGATTTAGATCTAGATCTTTGTTTGCTCTTACTTATTGTTAAATGCATCTTGGATTCAAGGTTTTATTTGCATCTTATGGTGATGTTATAGAATACTAGTGTTGTGTTTTCTTATTGATTAAGATCCTTGGTGGACTAACTTTGTAGTTTCATATATTAAAAGAGCTTAAGGTGCTTAAAAGACCTCTTATGGTGCCTAGATGTGATTTGTGACCATAAAAGTGATAGAAAAGTCACAAATTTGGTTTGAGACATTTATATTGATCATTGAATTTGTGAGAGGTCCTAGAATTGAAGTTGAGAGTGTTTTGAGAGTGAAAACACTAGTTTATTTATAAAAAAGGCATTGTGAGATTTTAAAGCAACAACTCCTTCTTAATGATTTTGAGAGCTTGAGGACTATTTCTCTTCATCTTTTTTGATACATCTCTTCTTTAAACATAGCTTCAAGTGAAGGTGAAGGCTTAAGAGCAATTGAAAAGTTTAGAGGTGAAAATTTCTACCATTGGAAGATCATAATAGAGCTTTTGTTGGCTTCTTTGGACCTATGGGATATTGTGGATGAAAGTGAAGAGCCTGCAAGCATTTATACTAATACAATGGAGAAGAAGGACTACAAACATCATGAAAAGAAGGCTATTGAATTGATTGCATGTAATGTGGATGACACCAACTTCTCCTACATTATCTCTTATAAAAGATCAATGGAAGTATAGAAGACTCTTTGCAACATCTAAGAGGCAAGCAATCAGTTTCTAATACTACATAAGCACCTATTAAGTAATTCCTCTCAACCTTAAATGCGGTAAGTACATCCTAAAGCTCTCTTTTCACTTCTAGATATATTCTTTGCATCTCAATGAAAATTCTTGCTCTAAATCTAATTGAAAACGAGTTACTTTTCTTATCATCTTATCTAATAGCCCACCTAATGGCTATGGAACTTGTGTCAACTGTCACTATTACCAATCTTCCATAATTATAGTCAATTGCTTTAACACTGATGGTGATTTCAAAACTACTTTTAATTCATCTATGGCCATCTTTTATTCCTTGTTCTATATATATATATATATATATATTTTCAATAACTTATACAACAGATTTACAATATGAACATATGTCATGGACATAAATCTCAAAGAAAAAAAATCCTCAATATACTCTTGTGTCATTGAAGAATATTAGAAAGTCACTTAAAATGTGATATAATATTAAACTAAAATGGCTATTGTCAAAAATAAGAAGACTAGAAAGTCTTGAAACAATTCTAACAAGTAAAAAGGTGTTGATAAGAGTGAAGAAGGCTTCACACTTGCCTCTATATATATTCATAACTAGGAGCTATGT